TAATGAGCATTAGCAATATTGCTAATTTCTGGAATTTTTTATCAGTTGTGTTATTTGTGCCTAAGAAAATCTAATTAAATGTTAAAATGCTTTTTCAATGATTAGTTGTAGAAAATGTTAGGCTGAGTTGCTGATGTAATGGAATCACAATGATCATTTGCTAAAAGCTTAAATATCTGAATCTCGAAGAATTAAACTCAACGCAGAATGAGAAGAGCAAGATAAAAGTTATTGTATGTTTCAAGATGGCTTGAAAGAATTTTTAAATGATTGAGAAGATAGAAAGCGGACATCCCAAGTGATTTGAGCAGAATCATGTGAAACAAATAAATAACTTTCAGTTTGTTATTTTCTTTTAGAGTCAGAGGGCAAGCGGTGAAACCAAATCCATGGAAATTGACTTGGCTGTCCCTAAATGACAAATAAGTTAGAATTTATGATTCCTATGGAGATTTAAAGATTTAATGGAGACATTTACAAGACTAATGCTCCATCCCCTGAACTATGGAGTCAACTTCAATGGAGACATTCTAACCAAAGTTATTTCTTCAGGCAGAGCCTATCACAATTGCTGAACTTCTAGAGATTGGCTAATACTCTGTCGCAAAGTAGTAAGTCAATTTTTTTGATGGTATAGAAAATGAAATGAAAAAATTTAAGCTTCCTTTAACTGATCACTTACTATAGGCACTTTACAGACATAATTCTTACAATAGACTATGAGGCGGGTGTCATTTCTCCAATTTTACATGAAAGGAAACTGAGACCTGGAAAGTATAAATTTGCCAAAATCCCTTGGTCAGAAAATGGCAGAGTGTGAAGTTGAATGCAGCTTTGACTCCAAGCCTGTGTTCTGATAACCTTCCCATGGTACACAGTACGCATGTTGAGTGAATAAATTTTTTCTATAGAATTAAAAATATAAAATAAAAAGGAAGAAATAATAAAATAAAATTTAAAAAGAGGCAGCTGAATCCATCCTCCCAAGCCTTTTTCCTACTCCATCCTGCCTGCATAATTATTTTATCATTTAAAATCTTTGGTATATTAGGTGGTTAAGCTTTTAATGCTTCGTAAACATCTTAGAACCATCTTTTAAGTTTTAGAATCTAGAGGTAACAATTTCTGTAAAAATCAGTGACTTTGTTCAGAAAAACCACTGATATCCTGGCTGGAAGCTTCAAGCTCAAATTATAAGAATTTGCCTTTGCCTCCCTTACATTCAAACATTATTTGAAGTTCCCCAATTCACTTTTTACTCTTCCAAAGATTGGCGGGGGGGAAACAGTTGTGGGGTTCAAGAGCAGGCTGTGGTCTTCTTCTTTGTGTTGTCCTGTATGACCTGAGATATTTTCTTATTATTCCTGCTCCAAAAGGTTCAGGTGTTATCAATAGCAGTTTGAAGCAACACATAGTCAATAAGAGCCCGCTGTTTGTGGAATAAACATCCAGATTTCTTATCTGATCTATATCTTCCTTTACAGTCTAGTCTCAACCTATCCCCCAGATTTATCTCCCTCTATTTCCTCTCTCCTAAACTAGTTGACTATTTCTTGACCATGCTGTGTACACTCCCAAGCGGCACTCTGGCTCAAAGCCAGTCCTCAACCTTGGAAACCCCTTTCTGCTCCTCTGCCTGTCCAGTCCTCTGTATATCCAACTCAAGTTCCACCTCTTCCCTGAGGAATCACTCTAAAGTTAATGATCCTTTCTTTGTGTCATTTATTTAGTTTTTAGAATATGCTATTTCATACCGTTATTTTACCTTTTGCCCTTGGATCTGTCTTTATCCTTTACATTTTAGTCTTGCAGGCAGGTACTGGTTTTTTTTCCCTACTTGATCCTCACCAACACTTAGATCCTATTTTGAAAATGTACATACCGAGATAAGGTTGTTGGTATTGTTGATGATGATGAGAACGAGCAATTTGTCTTTATTTTTAAAGACAACGAACCAAAGATTGAACTTGAAGTTAAAACACATTGTTGGTTTTAAACTTTGCATAGTGACAACAACATAGCTGACCGAACATCTCGGCGCAGTCAGTTACTCTGTTATTGGTTAGAGTTATAAGGATGGAAGAAAGAGGTGTGGTAACTATGTGGCTTAGAGTTATAACTCCCTATGAATCCTTCACTCATGCTAACCCTAATAATTTATCAAAGCACTTATTTCTTAGCTTGGATTTCCCCCAAGAAGCAGAACTAGAAATAAGAATTCTTATGAAAAAATTTACTTTCAGAAGTGGTTTCAGAGGACAGGAATGGGGACTTGAGAAGAGTGAAAGAGGGAAGGTGGGAAAGCCAACCCATGGATGCGTTATGGAGCTGATGGGGAACTGAAGTTCAACCCCAAGGACCATCTGAGGAACGGTGTAGAGTGTTCCTCAGAGTTGCCTGTCTAAGACAGAAATGGTACTTAGCCGCTGGCCCCCAGACCCAGGTCAAGGGTTGTCCCAGCAATTTGCCTGCTGGCAGAAGTGCTGCCAGGTCTGTGAAGATGTCCCTCACAACAGGTGCAAAGATGCCCCGGGACAGAAGAAAAAAGATATACAATGTGGCTGGAGTGAAGGCTGTCAGCCCTCACCTGTGCACAGGTGGTTGCTGTCGCAATGGCCAGAGCAAAAGATGTGAGATGAGGCAAAAATATGTCTGACCCATGTTCTTTCCTAATAATCTAATATATGACCTCAGAATCCTCTCAATGCAGTCCCCCAGGGAGCTATTATTAGTTCGTTGGAGTTGGCATAGGAAATAAACCAAAATGCCCTCTGCAGAATAGATGATCAAAAATGGTCTGGGAGCAAGTTTTGAAATGTGCCTATGTGAAAGTTACTAACATGTTGATTAATCTGGTACTTAAACACTTGTGGATTTCCTCTATGGGTTTTCGCAAGAGTCAGTGCTTATTATGGGAAGATAGACATTGCCTTCTTTACGGGACAAGATAATGAGGCCAGCCCAAGGAAGGAGTTCTTGCTTTGGAGATTGATGCTATTTGCAACTGAAGCTCCTGGTGCCCCAGGAGCCCCCTGCTACATTTTCAGGAAGGCGCTGAATGGTAATCACCTGAGAATGTAAAAGTATGTGTTTGAATAGTTTATGAGGATCAATAAAATATTTAAATCAGTTTACCCAGTCAGTTACAATTTATATCAACTCCCCTTAGTCTCAGGAAATTTTTTTTCTTGGTTAACACACACCACAAACGTATATGACTAATTCCTTGATTATTAAGAGAAATTATCCAGTTGATAAATATCATCTATGAAAGATATAAGAGAAGTGGATTGAATAACCAAATCGATTATTCAGAAAAACATCTGTTCTCCAAAAAAATAGTTAAAATGCACCATTGTACTTTAAATTATCATTGACGAGCTATTTCACAAAGAATTCTTCTCTGGAAATGAGCCTTAGGTAATAAACATTAATAAGTGATAATAGATTACAAATTAACCAGTAGCACAGCGCTGGAAAAGGAAGCCTTTACTCGGACATAGAGTTACATATTCAGCCACATGTGCTAAGTATTATAATTCTAAAAAAGTCTCAAGTCAGTCACTTGATATTTATGACCCAGAGGAACCACGTGGTTTCTGGCTGCACCTGCAGAACTAAGAGAAAAGTTGGATATCGTTCCTTTACTGAATTATCCGTGTGGGATTTTTACAAATGCCCAAGTTTACTTCTAGAGCATAGTTTTCTTCTAGACGGAGTAATTGGAAAAAAGGGGGGAGGGATTCTTACTATGATTTGGGTTTCGGAGTTTAGAGATAGCTTCTGTTTCAAGGTATACAAGCCTCCGACACACCTTCAAATGAACGACACCGAACTAGCCTTTCTCGGTGTGGATTGAGAAAAGCTTGTGAGTGTACCGAGGGAGTCTGGTTACAGGGAGTGTGGACGGTGTTCAAACAGCTTACACATCCCGTTACGGCTATGATTGAATAATAGACTTTCTCTTGCTTTATTGTCAAATTTGAGGTAATTTGATGATTTCAGTGTAGAAAAACAGTACATAGTTTAAAAATGCTTATGGGAAAGTGGAAAAAGCTGTAGAGAAAACAAGAGCAGTTCTAGTCACTGGAGAATCTGTGCCTCCACGAGCTGCTGGGGCTTCTCAGGGATCATTGCTCTCAGTAAGTCAAAGGCTCCATATGTTCCATTTGTTAGAAACCCCCTCATTCTCAGACTCACATGCATGCGTGAGCTTCCCAGTGTAAATATTTTATTATTTGATTCAAAATTGAAGGATTATTCTTCACATGTTCTCTTAGAGATTAATTGTACAATTCTAGGAGTTTAAAGTACACATAAATGAAAGTCAAATTTCTTAATATGCAAATAATAATGAATTCAGCCTAACCAAGCATTACCACATGACGATTGATGGAAACTTCATAAACCAGACATTTTTTTCAGGCAGCTGTGATCAGTGAGTTTCGAGTAGCAGGGAAAAACACAATTTGCATATGCAAACCGGTACAGCTTGAACAATGTCTCAATTGTTGTTATTTAAATGAGGAGTAATTAATTAGCATTCCTATAGCATGCTAGCTTTCACTTAGTGAATTGTATAGATGCAAATTTCAAAATAAAAACAACACCTATTTGGCTCTCCTTTGCAAAATTCAACCTAAGCTGAGAATTTGTAAATTGAGAAGCTCGTCAGAGGGAATTCCCCTCTGGTAGGACCCATTTCTCTCTCACTGTTGCTCCACTATGTATCTTGAATAGAGTAGAGAGATCTTTTTTCCCCTTTCTTTCTGACATATAATTGGAGAACTGATAAAAGTAAGTACAAAGAAAAACCCAAAACATAAAAAGCTAACAATGAGACACAATTCAGAGTTCACATTTCTGAGCCAAGCAATGTAAGCGCTGAGGTTGATCTGCCTTACTTGCTTGCAGGACAGCTGGTCCTCCTTTCCTCTCAGCGCCTGCTCTGACCCCTAGCTCCTTGCCAAGAAGAGATTGCTCGTGGGTCCGCAACTCACCAATCCAGCCCTTTGGCTCAGGTTGCTGGCATTGCACCATTTTCCAGACCGGTCCTTGATGGTACTTAGGAATCCTCAAGGGAAGTGCGCCAACACCGTGGGTTGCCTTCTTCACCAGCTAGAGCAGAGGCTGGGATGTTAAAAATCACATCTCCTAGGGCTCCCTTGCAGTTAGGTTTTTTGGATACGATTTAGGTCTGCTGAGCAGAAACATTTGCTTGGGATTGAATCTGAGTTGGGCAATGAGCCTCCTTTCTGTTTGCAGAGATCCTAGCAGAGCCAGTGCTGTTCTGGAACCATCAGGGTAGAGGCGGCTTTGATCCCTTGCCTGACAGCCTCCTGATGTCCAAGGGTGGCAGAAGCAACAGTTCTTGTGGCCGCAGGTACTGCAGTGTAACCTACAGGTTGTTCTTAGAAGCGCAGCCCAGAGTTTGCTTCTGTAGCCTTCCTAAGGATTCTGGGATGTTTACTAGCCTGGGATAAGAATCTTTTCTTGCTTAAACCTGCCAGCATGGCATCTATTCTCTGCGACTGAACTTTTACCCTGAGAGGAATTGGGATCAGTATTCCCAAGAACCTCGGAGACCTTAGGGCTGGTAATCTTATCTAGTTGGAGTTGAAAGCAACAAGGATGCCTTACCTTCAGAATATGGGTTACCGGTTTTTAGCTGTGCCAGAAAGCTTAATGGAAAAAATATATGATAAGCTTGGGGTCCAAATTCTATTTTTAAGGAGCCATCAGAAGACCAAGGAACTTGTATGGATGCCCTAAAAAACATTTCTTATATCAGCCACAGACTGATGCATCTAAAATTCAGACACTATCTACTTTTGTGGGTTGCTGAATTACAGCAGAGGTTGTGCATTTCCAGCCTCATGTCATCCTTTTTTGTGAAAATAGGACAATGTTGGGAAACAGAGGGTTGGCAGGAGGATGGTTGGGCAGATTCAAGCCCTAATGGAGCGTCCTCACTGGCAGAGGCAGACACTCCTCTCCTGTCACTTCCTGTACAGATCTCACCTGTAAAGGTGACCTAACGAGGGGTTGTCTGTGCTCGCCCTGCCTCCAGATTCCTGATTTCTCTCTTCCTGACAGTGCCGGCCAGAGTCAGGCTCCCAGCATGCCGCGGGACAAAGCATAAAGTCTTACCTGGGAAGAGCAGGCGCACACACTTAATGAATTGCAAGATTTTGCTGATTAACATCAGCAGAAACCAGAGAAAAACGGGTGGGAGTGGATTCTAAAGGTCATAGACTAGGGAGAAAAGAACATAATTTCAGGTTAGGCTGAATTTATCAAATGGGGCACTTACTGGAGATTCTGGATTCAGTGTGTTGTCTTGAACAATCGAGAATGGTTCTCAACATTCGCTTGGACGTTTGACCGAAACGTGGACTCGGGATGTCAGGGCCCAGACTAAAGGACCTTGAGATGCCAGAAATGCCTTGGCTTAAGGCAGATGAAGGAATGGAAAGACTTAAGGAGATAAAAATGCTGGAGTGGATTTATCACGTTGAACTCACTCACCCGCTGAATTAATGAACTATTGCTGCCGTAACAAATTGCCACAAACTTAGTGGCTGAAAACAACACAAATGTATTATGTTATGGTTCTAGATTCAGAAGTCCTAAAATCAAGGTGTTGGCAGGACTGTGTCTCTTCTGGATGCTCTGGGAGAGAATCAGCTCCTTGCCTTTTCCAGCTTCTACAGGCCACTGCATTCCTTGATTCATGTCTCCTTCTTCCATCTTAAGAGGCAGCAGTGTAGCATCTTCAGATCTCTGTCTGTCTCACACACACACATTTGTGTGTTCAGTGTCACATCTCCTTCTCTAACTCTAACCCTCCTGCTTCCCTCTTATAAGGACCCTTGGGATTACATTGGGCCCACCTGGTAATCCAAAATGATCTCCCCATTTCAGTATCCTTAACTTACTCCCATTTGCAAAGTCCCTCTGCAGAGACTCAGTGGAGGCTAGCCCTGGTCCTTCTGTACAAAGTCCAACAACTTCACCACATTCCACCCAGTGAGCATGTCCCACGTTTCCCCCAGACCTGAGCAGTTTATGGAGATTAAGTGACTCTGTGTGGGGAAACTGAGGCTTGGGAGGGTGAAATGACTTGCCGGAGGCCATGTGGGCTCTTATTAAGAACTGGGACAGGAATCGATGTTTCTGACGTCAGCTTCCTGATCTTCTGGCAACAGTGTCCTCTCTGATTGTAGCATCACTCGAGGTGTGAACCAAGCTCAGGAAGTGAGATCAGCCTAGCCTCGTGTGATAACACAGACCACAGATCCCCCCAGTCCTCAAGTTTACCCCGACACACTCAAGTTTACCCCGACATGAGAAGAGGCACAGAGCTGTGTGTGACCCAGTAAGTCTAAGTTTAAGGAAATTAAAGATGAATACATACAACGTGAATAACATATAAAGTTAACAAAATGTAAAGCCATGCTATATAGCTTTAAGAATATGTGCATATATAGTTTAAGGATACAGAAATGCCTAGGGAGATAAGCCTCAAATTGGAGGGAGTGGATCCTGTGGGTGGAAGCTGGTGGGGGGGGGGGGGGAAATTTTGGAAGCATAAAAGGACAAGAAGGATATGATAACAGTGCCTTGTGTTCACGGCTGCATATCTGATGAAGAGTCTGGCTCTTTCTAGGCAGTTTTATTCAGTGCTCCAAGAGCCATTTTCAGGGTTGGGACCAGCAGCGAGAGGAGAGGGTGGAAGCTCTGCCTTGGCCCAGCTATGTGTAGATGAACTGGAAATTTGCCCTGACAGTTTTTTTCTCTATTGTGCAAGGCAGGGCCAACTGATGTCATTGGGACATGCAGATGTCTCTGCCCTCTTCTTTGACAAGTGCCAAGAAAAATGATCTTTGCAGTCAAGTGCTGTTCCTTCCCCCAACCCAGATCCAGCAGTCTACCATTTCGATTCCTGTGGCCCACAGACCAGACTCCTGGAAACTCAAGAAACTCTTTTTATTGAGAGAAATCAGGTCCTGCTGCTTTCAGCTTCGAAAGGGAGTGCTGGCTTCTGTCCAGGTTATTAGAAAAGCTGGTTTGCATGTCAGTTCTGTTACCAGGGGGCACACACACGAAAAGCAAATTAATTAGTTCCTTCCTACCTTCTCTTATTCATTTGTGTATTCTTTGATTTAAGGAGCAAATATTTATTGAGCATCTACTCAGGAACTACAGAAGCAGCGACTAAAGATACAGCTCCTGCCCTGCTGGTAAATATAGACAACAGAGGCGACCCAGTAGGACCAGAGAGCTATAGCACAGAATTGTGCAGCCATAGAGATAAGAAGAGAGGAAGACGGGGGCCCGAAGAAGAGCACCACACAGAATGCGGGGGCGGGGGGTTGGGGGGGTGGAGGGGATCGTGTGGGGAAAGTTTCAGAAAAAGGCCACATGAGACAAGTCTTCAAGGATAAACAGGGGATAGCCAGATGGAAAATGGGCACCAGCAATTTTGGACAGAGCAGCAGGTGGAAAGCCAAAGAACCATGGGAAAGCGTGATGCATTCTGGGAACTGCTGGAACCAGGTCTCACAGCGATGCTGAGAGTAGATGGGTTCTCATCAGGACTGTGCTTGTCCTCAGTTTCCCCGAGAAAGCATGCACACAGCAAAAGTTCCCGGATATGGAGTCCCTATTACATGCTGGCCATTGTGCTTGGAGGTTTACACACATTCACATTTAATCTCCCCAAACTCTATTTTTTGGACAAGAAAGTGGTCTAGACAAGATCTGACCCTGATTTGCCTGCCTTCTAGTATCTGCCCTTTACACCATTGCCACCCAGGCTTATCAGATTCACCCTGCACCCTGCACAGTTATTGTGACAATCCAGTGATACAAAGTAGGTGAAACACTCAGAACCAGAAAACACTTTCTATGTAAAGTTGTGTTTTTGCAGTACAAACCTTTAAGAAGAAAACTAGAATCCATTATCCCACACTGATAATTCACACTGCGTTTCCAGCTAGTGTGAGGCCAGGGATGGGCTGGAGTAGAGAAAGGAGGGAGGCGGTTCACATTAAATGACATATACTTTAATGTCCCCAAAGTGGAGGCTGCCTCTGCCCACATTTGCTTATGTGCAAGATCATTAGAGGATCTAGTGGTTTGTGAACTTTATCTTGGGGAATCCAGGTTAGCAATACTGATGCCGCCAGCAGTAGAGGGGGGTGGGTGCGCAAATTTCAGAAATCGAGAATGGTGCTGGAACAGAGTGCCTTCTAGATTCATATTAATAAAATAAGGTTTTCGAGTGAAACGCAGGGTTGGAAATGATATATATTTATACATGGCGATGCTTGTTCATCTGTTCCAATGACTGGTAGCTTTTATTGGAATGTTTTCCTAATAGCTAAGCAGGTCTAGAGGTTTAGACTGGACAGAAGCTAACCCTTTTGCCTGGTTCTCAGAGGAAATCAAATAGCTATGCATGCTCTGCTTGGCTGTCAAAGTGTCTGTAATCTGAACCTATCTTACCTACTTTCCAGTTCTTCCAAATAGCCATTTTCTGGCTTTTGTGCCCAGATGGCTATGACTCTGTTTCCTAATTTCTTTTTTAATGCAACTCTGGTTTTGGTGTACTATGCTTACCACAAGGGCAAGAAAACTATCCTTTCCAGCAGGATGCTCACTCCCCACCCCCACCAACTGACCCAACACTTACCCAACCCCAAATGGATTCTTTTGTGGATGAATATGACCCCCCTGCCAATATGGCAAGTTGGTTCAATACAGCATCCATTCTACTCATATTTATTCAGCATCATTAAATGTCAGGAGCCATGCTATGTTGCATATATGAAGTGATGAGCAAAGTATGAAGCTTACATTCTATTGTTGGAGACAGACATAAAACAGATAGTCACATAAATAAGCATATAATGACAATCTCTAACATGTGCAGTGAAGGAAAAGAACAAGGTGCTGTGAACAAGGGTGAGTTGCAACTTTGACCGCATGGTTGAGGAAGTCCACTCTGTGGAGACAATTTAGCTAAGACTCAAAGATGAGAAGGAACTAGCCAGGCAAAACAAACAAACAAACAAACAAACCAAAACCTGAGATGGGGATAGGGAGTGGTCCAGGTGAGGTGTGATAATCTTAAGGCAAGGATTTATTTTGTGGATCTGAGGATCTGAAAGCAAGTGAGAATGGCTGAAGCATTTTGAGTTGGGGGTTGGGGTTAGAGATGCAGGTAGGGTCCAGAGTACACGGGTAGAAAACAAGAGGAGATGTGAGTGCTGAGGGATCAAGAGTGGGCCGTGCTGGCTATTAAACTGTTGTTCCTCAGCTTCA